ATTCTGGTGCCCATCTTGTGGGTGTGCATGACTCTCTGAGAGATGCATAAGGAAAGAAAAGCCAGAAGCAGATGTCTCTGTGGCCTGTGGCGAGGGGAGCGAGGATGCATGCGAGGGACTGACGAATTCCTGCCCCGACAAAGACACCCGAACTGGAATTTATGAGAATCCATCTATAATAAAACGCTTTCAACTTACTGTCTGGCTGTCATCCGGGTGCGTCCCAGGAACGGTGGCATAAGGATAAAGCTGCCACATCACACATTCCTTGCTATCACCGCAGCTTCTCTCTTGATGAAACAAAATCTCCCCTTGTCTGACAGTTCTGAGAACTGAAGCAAGAAAACCTCAGCGATGCTGCTGTGCTTGGAAGCCCGTGCAAAGCATGGCAGTCTCCTGAGCAAAACTTTTCCATCGCTCCTGCTACAAAGTCAAGATGCAAATAACAAATTGGCAGGCTTGGATTTTAGAAGATTCTGCACATATCTGAGGGAACAGAAATGTTACCGCAGGATTGCTGAAAAAATAGATTGATGATTTAGTTGCGTGGAAGATGTGTATCATCAGCAAAGGAATGTCTTCTCATGAGCTAAAGCAAGGGCAAGTCCCTGGCCCTGTGGAAGCCCAGGGGAGGCTTGATGGGACTCACACCAAACGTTGCGGGCATTACTCTGGCAGGGTCAGTAGCTAAAGGCATAGCTGGGGTCTGCTCTGCCTGATGCCTCCCTGAAACAATTGTCCATGAATCAGTGGTTGGGAAAATCCCTGTTGGTGGGGACAAGGTGGGGTGCAAGGTGCAGTGTTAACCTCACAGATCCTCTGTTGGTGGGGAAAGGTGGGCTATTCATAAGGGCTGTTCAGAGCAGGAACGAAATGTGGTGCTCTGATTTGCCCTGCAGAGGGGTTTTGAAGCCCAGAGATGGTCACGGCCCTCTTGAGCTGAGGAATCTGATGTGAGGGGTAGGAAGATGCTTGCCTGGGCAGAGAGAAAGGCATAGCTTGGGGGCTTGGGGTTGGAGTTGAATGAAAGTGAACAATTTTAAGCCTGATAATTATGAAAAGAAGATATTGCAGGATTTCATGGTGTTAATGTAATTTTTCTGACCAGATCAACACGATAACCCTAGCAAATCCCAACAATGAGCCAATTTTCAATTGTCAGTGCCAGCATAGAGCAACACTGGAGACCACAAGGCAAAGAGAGAAATGCTGAGACAGCCTAATGGAGCATCCAGCTCAGCCCAAACAACTTACATGTTTTGTTTTGTTCTTTTAATTCTTGAAAAGAATTAGAAAAGGATGGCAAATTTCACCAGAAGTGAAAGAAAACCACAGAGGTCTTTGTCTGTGGATTAAGCATTTTCAAGAGCTAGCAAGAATAAATGTTTTCCTGTTTTCACTCTGTTTTCTGTACCTTAGGACCAAGCCACATAGGATATTTGCTGAGACTCCAAAGTTTTCTTATTTGGACTTCGTTGTTTTAGAGAACTTGTTTTGCAGAACTGCACATCCCAGGGAAGGAAATTAAGGTCAGAGATGAGAAAAAACCCACCTAAGGGCCTGAAATAATTTTAGTTTCTCCAAGACCACCCTGTGTGGGAATGATACATTTAAAAATGGGTGGAACCTCTAAGCCTGGAATTGTATCAACTTATTCATGAAAAATCTCAGAGATCTTTGCACGGACCAAGATATTTGGGTGGTACTTTCTCACTCTTTCTTCAGAAAAGGCACTGTGGCCTCACAAACTGAAAACTAGCCTTGCTTTTTCTCTGGCTTTCAAAATAGCTATGTATCCTGAAAAGCTGTCTCAGCAATAGTGAAGGAATGGAAAAAAAGTCCATTATATCCCCATGGTTTCATACAGTGCAGCTGTGCTAACAGAGTGCATGGAGACCGAGACCAGGGGAAAGGCACGAAATAGTCCATGAAACGAGCAGTTGAATCCAACAGTAAAGCTTCACTTAATGGGGAGATTGATTGTCCAGGTATCCTATTGCAGATGGCAGGGTTTTGTCTTTATTTTTTAGGATAAAATCCAGAATATTGAGAGATTCAAGCCCTTTGTATTAATAACATTTTTACTGAAATCGGTGGGAAAGATGTCTTCTTTTGGGAAGTCTATCTTACTTTAAAATAAAATCTTTAAATATTCTTACAGTGTATTTGGATTAAATATCCATATTTTGTTTTGATTTTATTTCTGGTTGAATGTCTGTAGGATGACAGTCAGATTTGAAAACAACCAGGTTAATAATTAAATAATTACATTTTATAATGGTTTTGTTTACATTTATGTAATGTAATGTAGTTATTATTTTTATATCATAATATAATGTAATTATTGTAACTATTTATTAGATCAGTTTAAAAAGCATTTTCATTTTGTTTTGAAAGGAGCAAGCGTGCATCAACATACAGCCTTCAACAGTCCCTCTTAGGTCTTGGTGCAATTATTACTAGTGCAGGAATAATGGAACAAACATCCACCAAATGAAATATGCAGTTGCCACAGTGGAGCTATTCCCCCTGAGTCAACTCTGAAGTACAAGTGGTTAGTTTATAACCCTCTTTAGGTTACAACATTTTAACGTTCCTTCAGTGTTTATTTATTCTCTTCCCAAAGAATGTTCTGAAGTATCGAGTTTACAACCTGTGGCTCATGTGATGGTAGTGGAAACAATTAAACTAGAAACTTTCAAAGCCACCACTGGGATTTCGATGCCCAACTCATTAATTTTAATAAGAAGAGAGCTGCCAGTCTCTTAAGTGGTTTCTAGAATCTCAACCCATAAAAACACCTCTCTACTGGTTCCAGTTTACAGTGCAAGGTAAACACGTGTAACAAAATAATAGGTGTTAAAAGTTGGAAAGTATGTGTTCAGATGTCTCTAAGACCATTCAAGGAACCAAACAGCAGCCCCAGCCTTGAGCTGGCAGATGTAAGGGCTGCTCCTACCTTCAGCATCTCAGGGAATTTGGGGCACAGTTTGGGTGGCAAGGAGAAGAAAGTCAGTGGGAACAGAAATCTTGGCAACAGCTCAGTTCCAGTGGCTTCTTGCCACCAGTTGGTGCTTGCTGACATTGCAGAGACCCACATGGTGTTTGTAGATGCTTCCAGGCCCTTCCTACCTGCCTAAACTGTCCTATCCAAGTTGCATCTTGATACCTGTGAGTCTGGAGGTGGCTTTGCCTCAGCCATGAGCCTGTGTCACAGCCCAAGAATTCTTAAAGGCTTTGGAGAGCACCAAGAACTCTCAAAGGAAATTGATGAAAACTCCCCCTCAACACGAAACGTGGATGAAAGTCTTAACTGGGGAAAAAATTCAGAACCAGTAGATCTGTCTGTGATGTAAAATAGAGCATGGAGTGAGTATGAATGTGTTTGAAAAGGACTTTCTGGGAGTCTGAATGCTTGGAAAAAGAGGAAAAAAATGGGATTTATTAATGAAATCAACCATGGAGAATTTTAGAATTAGTTTAAACAAGTGTCTTTTTCTTTTCTATAACTGTTGTGTGATGATCTCTGAAGAACTTCATGAATGTTGGCTGCAAGTGACAAAGTTAGTGTAGTTTTTGCCAGTGAGTCTCACAGTAGCAATGATTATCAGTAGTTATTGGAAGGACCTTTGGATGAAACACAATGCACTGGAAACAGAGATGACCATCTTGACTGGTATTGTAACAGACTTCAAAAAAATCAGAAAGAAAAAAGCTTCCATTAGTAGTAGATGTGACTTTTTTGGAAGAGAACAAAATGTTCCATAAATGAAACATGTGGTTTCACTTGCGGCACATTTTGTACATTGTCACCAATGAAGTTTAGGATTTTTTATTACTTTTTCATTAAAATGTCTTACTGGTTTCACTCAGGAGGCAAAATTTTTCACGTGGCTTTAATTGTTTCTGTCATAAAAGTCATAGCATCCATGTAATAGAAATAGTTTTGCAGACCACAGCTTCATATTGCCTATTAATTCTCTCCCATTTTCTGTACCTACAACTCATTGGCCCATCCCAGGGACAGGAAAAGTTCCTCTCTTGCAATTAAGACCGAACATGAACTTCTACTGAAGTTGGGGGGGGTGGGGAAATAACTTTGTGTCAGTCCTGGTTTATTAGATTTTTCTTTCAGATATCTTAGCTCACAGTAAGTTCACATGGCTGCATACCAAAGGAGTTTGTATTGACTTTTTTCTAAAATCAGTGAAAAACTAGAAGATGAAAATAAAAGGTCTTTTTCTGCATCATTCCAGTCATATACAAGAGGTGGTAGTATTTCAAACAGCAGTGAAGAGCTCTGGCAGTATTGTTTCAAGGAGTCTTTGGACAGGTCATTTACCTCCTTTTATCTACATTACCTGCTGGAGTTGAGGTCTCACATATCCCACCCCAGCAGCCTAACTTCCATGCTTCTGTCATCAGTCTGGGCTTCCTTGTCACCAATCCTGACTCAGATGAGCAAGTATAATTCTTCTTGTGGTCAAAACAATGACTTGTTTTCCACAGATGATATCCAAAGTTGGAAAGAAAAAAGAAAGGTGGGAGAAATAATGAGATAACTAGTACTATCTCATTAATTTAAGATCAACTTCTCTTAATGTATGTGTTTTCCTCAGAGAGAGTAGTTTTGCCAGACACATTTGAGAGTCATTTGCCAGCTCAGAGAGAGTTTTGTCGTTTGACCTTCAGCCCAGCAGGGGAGGTGACGTTGACCCTTACCACTGACTCTAAAGCCTCTGAGAAGTAATTAAAGTGCCAGAAAACAGCAATAGTATATTCACTGCCTTTTCCCCTTTATTCACTTCAGTGTTTACTTTGAAGCTTTTAGGAAATGCCACTTCTGTCTTTAGTTGCAGCCCCAGAGCAAAAGCCTTCCTCCTTGTGCACCTTCTCAGCCATTAGGAGCACACAAAAAGCAGTGTAGTCCTCTGCTTTCACTCTGTTTTTGGCATGATTCCTTCCTTATTCATCAAATTTTTAAATGTTATGTTTTGCAGTTCAAGGACGACAAAGACAAGCCCAGCCTTGGAAGGATCCTCAGTGACAGCCCTGCCCGCTGTCCCTCTTTCTGAGCAGGTCCCACTGACCTCTCCTTCCCTGAAGCCCCTGCACATGGATGAAGAAGACAGCCTGTCTCCTCACCTCTTGTTGCCAGACAGCATCAGCCAGCTGGAAGAGTTTGGCAGGCAGAAGAAATGGCACAAGAAGCAGCACAAACACCATCGCCAGAGGCAGTTCAATGACCTCTGGGTTCGGATAGAAGACAGGTGAGTCACAACTGTTTTGGTCCCTGTCCTCTTCCTGCTGGCTCCTAAGTAGATGCTCTTTACAGATCCCAGCTCCTGTTGATTAGACCATAAGAACAGTTGGAGAAAGGCTAAATGGGAGAGACAGAGAGTGAGATGATGTTTTTGGAGCCTAATGAAGAACTAGGAGGAAAGCTCATGGGCATGTTTGATCTAAAAGTAAAGAGAAAAAAAGCTAACGCTTAGAATATTTAAAATATACAGAAACAAAGACTTGTCAGAGTAAAAACAGGAAAAGAACAATAGAAAATATTCTGTGTTTGCCCTTTTTCTTCCAAAAATTATTTTCCAATCTTCAGTGTTAGTTTTCAGCCCAAAGGCTCACTCATTTTCCAACCATGCAGAATATTCCTGGGAGTTTTTAAGACTCTGACATATCTGACTTTCAACCTCCTTAACTGTGTTCTGGGGCTGAAATGTTTTAACATCTCAGACTGCACTGAGAACAGCAAACTGAGGCAAAATGAACTACTTAACTGAGGCCTCTATGTGAAGAGAGAATGGAGGTAGGCACATTTCCATGGCTATTCCAGTCTTTGTCTGAGGTTAAAAAATCCTATTCTGTGTTTGAAGAAGAGCCTTCATGTTTGACCAGGGCTTCTCAATGTGTGCTTTGAGGATTCCTGAGCAATTTATTCTCCCACCTCTAAAAATTGGAAAATCTCTTAGTGCCTTTATCCAGGCCGTGTCATGGGCAGATAAACAGCCACAATGTTTATAGATCTTCTAACAAGTAAAAGGAATTAAGTAATCTTTTGGGAACTGGCTGCTCACCTACACATGTAATGATTGTGTTTGGTCATTACTTATTCCCACTTTCATAGCACCTAAATTCCTTGCAAGTCTCTCAAAGGTTTCTCCGTTTGCTAAGGAAAAACCTTCACATACTTATGTTTTCAGATTTTTTTTTTAATTATTTTTATTCATTCCTTTTAATGGAATAGTTGCCTCATTTTTTATAGTTTGTTGTATTCTCAGGGTGAATGATGTAAGGGGTGTTATTAAGGTGGTCAATATTAATCTTAGTGTAATAAGGCTGTTACTGAGGTCAGTGCCAGCCTTGTAAGAGGGATTCATGTGTTTTCTTTTCAAAGTGTGTTGAGTGGTTGGATCCTCTCCACAGAGGATGTTTAAGCATGAACTAAGAGGCATTTGGATCAACATAGTTGATTACCTCAAACACAAGGGACTTTTCTATCCTTCTTCCACTGGGGAGCTGCTGACTTGTGGTGTCTCATGGTGTCCCAGCATTTCACAAGGGTGTCTGGTCCAGATCACCGTATGTGTCATGCGAGATGTTTAAATAGATCTGGTGGGAGCCTGGCAGTTAGGCACAATCCTTCTGCCCCCATTCTAGCTATCCAAAAAGGATATTGGATATTGGGTGTGATATGGCAGTGGAAATGTGCAGTTGGGCCTTAAAGTGGTGCTTGTGCACTTTTGTGCCTTTTGCTGGTTTTATTAAAAACTGTTCCTAGGAAAATTATTTAAAAGGTATTTCTGAAGGTTAGGGTTAAATTACGTGTTTTGGGTTCCTGCGAGATTTCATCTGAATCAAAGCTTTTATCCCTCTACTTCAATTTCATGAGGATGGAGATTGGGATAAGGAAACATAAGTTTCCGCTCCCACCACGCTGGTGATGAACCAAACACTGTGTGTTGCCTGCCTTGCTGAAAGATCCCAGGGAGATATTAGTGGGAGATCACAGCCCTAGAAATGAGGAAAGGCTGGAAGAAGGGAAGCCTGCCTTAGTGCTTTCAGATGGTTTTGGCGTTTCTACAGTTCTGGAGTAACTTCTGGTGTTTTTTCCTGGAAACAAAACAAAAAATACAAACTGTTCAGCTAAATCAGAGACTCACAACCAGCTCTGGTTTCCCTATAAATTGGACGGGGTCTCAACTTTCATAAACCAGCTGCTGCATATTGTGCTTTGGCAGTTGGGTTTCATCAGCATTAATTGCAAACTGGACCCTGCACAAAGCAATAAACAGCGAGTTCTCTCTAACTGGTTCCTTTCTGATTGGCAAGAGAAGGGCAGAAATGTGTGTCTGTCACCAGACTTTGTATTGTGACCATTCTTGGGAGGAAACAAGCAGGATGGCTGATAGTACAGGCATTGGAGTGTTACCTGTGCAGGAGAGAAACATGGACTTCTACTGTGTTGCTGCAATAATGTTTCAACAGTAAGACTTAGCACTCATTTTTGGAGGATAATCAGTGTACTAGGAAGTTCTCACTCTGGCATGTCCCACAGATCCATTGTACATTTACATATACTTCAGTTGGAGTCCCTCATGTTCTGTACAGACCGAGATCTCTGCATATAGTATTACCTTGAGCTATGGCCTCGTGTTCCCAAATGGTTCTTCTTCCAGGTTGAGTTTCCTAACTCATCAGTTGTCACCTGAAACTTGATTTGGTCACCTTTGGGACAAGGTTGAGGGATTTAGGTCTTTGTGTAAGGCTTTGGGGTGAAAGCTGCATAAAGCTCATTGTTTCCATGCAAGGTCTCCAGAATTCAGCTGTTTGAGCTGCCTTTCAACCTGAAAAGTCAAAGAGAAATACACAGGTGGAGGACAAATCCAGGCAAATTTAAACCAGGTTATTGATTCTTGTATGAACCTCATTGAACTGTGAAATGACTGTGGTTCATACAGCCCTTTTCCAAAGCTTTATTGACCATGGATTAGAGGACTTTATGAGCCATGAATTGCAGGGCTTTTATGGACTACGCATTTCTAGGAGATCTCATAGGCTTCCATGGAAATCTTAGGGTGTTTTTTTAAGCTACCAACAGAGAAACAAAGGAAATGAACACAGGAGAACAATCTTAAAGGAACATCAAAGGTCTGACTCCAACCTATAAAAGCCAGGAAATCCATAATTAATGGTTCCACTAAGACCTCAGCTCTCGCAGTCGTTTGGGTCTGATCCGGGGTTATAGCTACAATCTGAAATGGCCTCGTGAAAAATGAGTCATCATTTAATGTCGCACATCATTATTAGTTATTTACTTTCAGTTATACCTTGGAGATTATCCTTTTCTTTTTGTTCTGTCTTAACAGCTGAGGCATTTGAGTTGGCACCACTGAGTGGACAGTGTTTAGATTTGTGTGCTGGAGGGTTAGTACCGCTGCGGAGGATGAGAAAGCTTCTGCTCTGTCTTTTATCCCTGTCTTTGACAGAGCTAAGATTTGCTGATCTCCTGGGTAATCAGCTACACTGAAGGCTATTAAAAAATAAAAAATGCTGATGAAATGTGTGGTTTCCTCTCCCTTCTGCCTCCTTCCCCCAAAATCTAAACAAACTGAAAAAGTCCTGCCTCACTGCAGTTTCTGTTTGAAATTGTTTGTCAAGAATCAAAATTAAATGGAGATTGCAAGTAGCAAGATTTTTTTTTCTTTAACTACTTGATTTTGCAGAAATGTGCAGATCTGAAGTCTGTCCTTGGGAGGAATTTGAACTTAGACAAAACTCAAACCCTGGTTAGCTTCCATAGCCAAAAGCCAGATGGGGCAGCAGGGAGGGGAGGCAAAACCCTTGGGCTGGAAGGCTGCAGTTTGGCATACAAACTGTGTTATTGTTCCTGTTGACACTGTGTTAGCTAAGCTTCCCCATGTAATATAAATAATTAATTACAGATCATTCATTGGCTTTTCATGGTGAGATGCTCAGTGAATGGAAAGAGTAGAGAAATGTCTGTAATGTTTCAGAGTGGTCAGTGAAGACCAGATCAGGGTCACACCTTTGTTGTAGCAGGTAAACAGTTCAAGGCTACAAATAAAAGAGCCTAAGAGAACAGAGAACCTCTCCCAGCTGTCAGGGAGTGTTATAGCTCCTGAGCCCTAAGGCAAGGCTCCTGGGAAAAGGGAGGGAGGGGGAGGTAGTATCTAGGAGGATGTTTCAGGAGGAGTGAGTTTTGGAACGAGCTGTGGCAGCCAGGGAATGAGAAGGAGAGAAGTACCAGTGATGGGAAGAAAGAGTTAGAGGGAATGTAATGGGCAAAGTCATTCCCACTGCCGAGGAAGAGATCTGGGTGAAGATGATGTTTGGAAAGAGACTAAGGATACACATGCTTCACTTGCACAGGAAAGAAATTAAAGGAAAGGAATTGTTCTAAGAAGAGAGAAAAAGAAATTCTTGTCCCAGATGGAAGCTCAGCCCTGCAAAATCTGCCATTAGTGGGAAATTAAATTAATTCCCCCTGTAACTAGAAATGGCAGTTCTCTGATAGCCCAGTGCAGACTATTCAACCCCAGATGAATGCAATAACATTACAAATATCAATTTATTTTGGAAGAAACAGTTTTGTAGGGGGAAAAAAATGTATACCAGTGATGGATGAAGGGAGACAATGTGTAATAAACTACACTGAGTGTGCCTGTATAGAGTGAACCTTATCAGTTTGGATGGAATTTAAGCACTTAGCCTGTTATCCTTTCTTTCAAGACAATGCAGTGATGGAAAACAGAACTCTGTCAACTCAGACAAACTTTTAATTCCACTTAACTGCATCTGAAAGGTAAATTTCAGTAAATTAATCCAAATTGCTTCCTTTTCACAACACATGGTGCTGAAATACAGTACTTAACTTCATTACAGAAAAGACTGCTTTTATTTAAAGGAGACCTAGACACCTTTGAAGTCTAACAGGTAAATTGTGGTCAGATGACTTCCCTCCATATGGTACCTTTGAGCTTGAAATTTCCATCACTGGGGCCTTGTTTGTTTAAATTACCCCCTCTGCCTCCCTGGTAAGGACAGTGCTCGGGGAGTGCCTGCCTACTGATGGTCATGGGGAGGGGGATCACTCCCTCCTCCAGCCTGTCTCCCTGCAGCCAAGTAAGCAGTGCCACCATTGCATCTGTTTGCCCTGTGTTCAGCCGAGGATGAGGACGCAGCTTCAGGGCCTCTCTGACTTGGAGTGAACCTGTCTTCCTGAGGGACTGCTCAAGCAGCC